TTTCTCTTCTTTTCTTTTCTTTTCTTTCTTTCTTGTACCAATAACCAACTGAATGTCTGAAAGTATTTCCACGTGAAAATCCTGGACAATATCCAGATGAGCAGCTGGGGTTCCTCAAATTACCTGACTTTGCAAATTAGTTGCACAGTTTTTATTACAAAGGAAGCCTGTGATTAGGTTATAAATCCTTGTGCATCTATTATATAACATTTTCAAAATCGGTAAACAAGGGAGGTAATCAGGTTGAGTGCCCAAATTTGGACTCAGACTGGCTCTGTTACATCCAACTCAACTGTGTTCTTAGCAAGGCAATGGATCTCTCTGGGCTTCAGTTTCCTCAGCTACTATGTGAAGACATGAACGGTCGCTTACAAGGGAGCTGTGACATTCAATAGCCACAGTGGTTAAGAGAAAGCTTAGCATGTATTAAGTGGTTAAAAATGGTTCGCTATTATTTTGAGAGCATATAAGAACCAAACTTTCATTTCAGTTGCCTCCAATATAAAACTAACCGGAAAAAAAGAAGAAAATTAAAGTCTTATTAACCATCCATAGTTAAAAAGCAAACTCCACTTTCCAGCATCCCCTCCTTTGTGTGAGTCTAGGTTAGAACTGGCCAAGAGAACCTTGCGTGAAATCTGGAAGGCAAAATGGAAGCAGCATCAATTAATCTGAAAGTTTTTTTCCTTTCTTTTTCATCAGGTGCAGTGACAGCTCCAGGTATAGGCACTTGGCAGGTTCTAGACTGACTCTGCTCTCCTGAGCTCTGTGCCCATTTCTCATTGCCCACTGTTGGTCCTGCCAACTGTCGGGAAACTCAGACCCACAATCCAGTTTTTGGCTGTGGACTTACAAAGGAGGAAGCCACACAGAGGTAACAGCATCTCGTGGACGTCCGCACAAATCACCTCTTCAGAGTGACACTTACCCGGCTGTGCCTGGCTGCTCAGGTCAGTCGGTGACTGCTCTGACCCCCCAGCTCCTCTTCTGGACTTTCGCTTCCCAGCAACTCCTGCAGCTGCGTGAGGTCAGATCCGTCATCACCCAGCACCGCTCTGCCGACGGGACCCCGGCAACTATTGCTACCAGAAGTGTTTCAAGGAGCAGAATTTAAAAAATAGAATCTGGAATTAGTTTTCAGATCTGACTGGATTTAAAGGCACTAATGACTCTGTTCCCAGGAGTCAGGGGAATCCTGGTATCCAGGACAAATGGTGGCAAAATGGCTACTTAAATTCTCACCAATAATAACCCGGGGTCAAGTGTCTACAAAAAGCAAGGCCCTGGGTTACCGGGCACCTGCTGCAATAGAACTTTTTCATAGAAAGAAAAAGAGTGAGGACTGTGGGTTTGAGTCACCGCTTCTAACTTCACTGGAGAACTTACAGGAAGAGAATGATAAGCCTGGGGTTTCACATTCACAGCTCAAGGTCTAAGCTGAAAACCAGAAAGCTTTTATGACAGCCTCGAAATAAAACCTTCCTAACTATACTGCTGGTGTTCTACCATCTGTGATGTCTTCTAAATCCCAATCCAGACTCAAGTCCTGGAAGGTCCAGAACCAGGCTCAAAGTACGACTTGTGAGGTGTTACCACACAGGCCAAAGGAACCGCAAGATCTCACCATTTCACATTAACTGAAACCAAAGGTATATGTAGAGGGGTATTTCTTAAAGGTGTTATATTATTGTGGGACGAATACAATGTTCTATTAGCCTAACGTTTTTGATGTGGGTTCACTGAAGCAGGGATCCTGGATTCCAGGTGTTAGTTCACGTGTCTGGGAGTAACTCTAATAATCTGTCTGAAAACTAGACCCAAGAGTGGTCCACACTGAATGAAACAGATGCCAAAACGTCCTTGTTATAACGAAATAAAGAGGAAAGTACACAAGTGTTTAGAAAGATCGTTTTCTTAAATACGACAGATGTGCTCATTACTCACTTGCCACGTGTGTCCCCTAAGAGGGTCCAAAGGGCATTCCCTTCCTCAGGCCTTGAAAAATACACTGATGAAGGCGGTACTGGAATCCTGAAGTAACTTCGTAGCAGCTGTTCTCTGAAAACCAGAAATGACCCTGGGAGATGCTGTCACAGAGCTGAGCTTCTTGATTTAATGAGGATGATGGAATTCTACAAGGGCAGGAACCAAAAGGCTGCGTTTCACTCCCAGAAACCAGATGGGAATGGTCACCGTGAGGGGCAGCAGAGTCAAGGGCGTAAAGGCAATGGTCTGACCTGCAAAGACTTCTGGTACTGGCTAGTGGGCCACGGAGTCCTAGGACTGAAATAGATGGGCAATCTAGGAACGTCTCAGATCCAGATAAGCATTTAATTTCTAGATTTAGTGAAAAGAAGTCTGATATGAATCACCACACCAGGGAATTACTTTCCCTTGATCAATTTCCATATGAGAGCAGGTTCACAGACCCAGAACTCTGAATAAAGGGGGGGCTAGATATCTCAGAGGATAGATTCTGCTACACCGTCCAAAATCCATACTGTAAATCTACCTTCTAGTCTTCCTTGATGGGAACTGTGCACTGGGAAGACAGAAATCACCAGACTTTCTGATGACTACTGGATTACTGGCTCTGAACTGATATGAATTCCTGGTGGCCCTAAACTGCCACTGAAGGCCCAACCACAGAGCAAGAGTTTGTGGAAGTCAGATAATGTAATCAAGGTTCAGATTAAATCTGGCTCAGACTGGACCAAAGAGTCTCTGAATCTACCCCACAGTTCTGTCCTAATTCTGAAAGGCTTATCTGGAGTAGAAATACTCAGCAACTGGCAGGGCCCTCGCTCCTCTTGTTGGTTCCATGATCTGTAGAATGAAGACCCTTATGGTAAAGGCCATACAAGTCCCTAGAACCGCCTCTACATACCAAAATTGGAAATTAAATCAACACCGCACTCATGGAGAGATTTGAGAATGATTTTTACCATGAAAGATCTGAATGATGCAGGAATGAAAACCTTTCTCTTTTTTCTTTTCTTTTCTTTTTTTTTGGCCTGTATTCCTCTACAGAAGACAGATTTGGGAGAATTACACTGGATTATCACAAACTTAATCAGATGAGAGAGGGAAAAATTACACAGGAAAAGGGGGTATTCTCAATTGCATTCTTTGATTCCTGAATTCATGAATCTAGGCAGAAATATGACCACGTATTGAACGATGAATCAGATCATATACAACATCTCAGAGGCCCTCCAAAATGTTTTCACCCAGCTGGTGCTGGAACCAAATACTGAAAAAAAAAGAACATTACATCATTCTGTTAGGCCATCTGCTTCAAGGTGATGGGAAACACGGTAATACCAGACATTTACATGAGCATGAGCCCACTGCCACATTTGTTTGCTGTAATATGAATTCCCCGAACAGAAACAATATTGTATGGAAAATCATAACAGCAAATGAAGCATTTGGCAAGTTCAAGGATAGAGTTTGGCAGAAATTTACAGGCTGGGGAGGCAAATGCAAAATCAGGGTGCGTGGCTATTTCTGTGAGAACAAACCACTGTTCTGTGATAGCCGTGAGCTAATATAATCATACTGCCATCACGGTGGTAGGCCAGTCCTCCCATAGCACGGCAACATACTGGGAAATAATACTTTCTCTGCTTTCATTAGGCTGCCCTCAGCAGTGACTGCAGCTAGACTGGCCCTGGTGAGTGGAAGGTCACGCTGCTGAATCCATGCATAATCTCCAGACCTGCCACCACTGTCTTTGTTCCTGGGCCCACTGGGCAAGGACAAAGGTGGCTGATGAAAGAGACTGGTCAGCATACACAGAACCTGTCATCTTATCCACCTGATGGCTGCGTCCTCTCTCCTGAGGGTGCTGCTCTTTGGTGAGCAGTCAAGTGGAATATAAATTATCTACATACCTTTTCCTCCAAACTTCTCTGTTACCAATTTTCAAACCATGTTCCCACTCCTTCCAAGTCCTTGCCAATCCAGTCAAAACACCTTGATTGCAGTGTGATCACATCAGCTCACTTCTATCACAAGACAATGGTTTGTTCTCACGGAAATGGTCACTTACCCCGAGTATGCATTTGCCTCCCCAGCCTGCAAAGTTTTTGCCAAAATACCATCCATGAACTTGCCAAATGCCTTGTTCAGCAGTAGGGTATGCCATACGGTATTGTTTCTATTCAGGGAATTCATATTACTGCAAATAAAATGTAGCAGTGGGTTCATGCTCACATGAAACTCTGGTATTACCATGTTCCCCATCACCCTGAACAGACAGCCTAAGAGAATGATGCAACATCTTTTTTACCCCCCAGATATTCAATTATGGCATGAGTTGGGTGAAAACATTTGGGAGGGCCTCTAAGATGTTATACGTGGTCTGATTCATTGACCAATAAATGGTGATATTTCTACATCGCTCCATGGATTCAGGAATCAAGGGATGGATTAAGAGTGTCTCCTCTTCCTATGTAATTTTTCCTTCCCCTATTCCCCTAGTATCTTACATACAATGTGCTGATACTGGCTAACTTTCTATCCCAGCAACTAAATTAAAGGATATACACAGCAAGGGACCATCTAGAAATAAAATGTTCCCCATATTAAAATGAAGGTGACAATACTAATGAGGGAAGTGTCAAGAACTGTGCAGGTTCTGAGGTTTTACTCTACTTACCATCTACTGAGTTAGCCTGCCACCTGTCAGGGCAGAAGACAGAAACTCCCGGGTTAGGGACAAAGGACTTTGTTACTTACAGTAAAAGCAGAAGCCAGGGAATCAGCATTTCCTTGCACAGTTCCCTGAGCCCCAAATCCCACAGGGTGACGTGAAGAGAGCCAGCTGGTACCTGCACATGCAGGGAATTGTATTACGGGGAGAGACCCCGCTTTGAGGGAACCTGAAACTTTAATAATGAGAAATAAGCTTGTCAGTCCTTTGCTCCAAAAAAGACACAGTCTTTATCTTCCAAGGCTGTTCATTATACAAACATCCTTCAGAAGATAGTCCAGAACAAAAGCAGACGGTGCCAGGACATGTGGAAACGCGAGAGACTCATGAAGAATTGCCTCCCGACAGGAAGTTTCACATATTTTATTGAAAAATCTAAGAAATCATGTGAATCATGTACAATCTTTTCTCACAAGAAAACCTTTAAGCTGGTTTTTTAAACGTTTCACAGAACTGTAAAACTTTTTACTTTTTAAAAAGAAAAAAAAACACAATGAAACTACCACAGTAATATCAGTTTTTTTTTTGTTTTTCCTTGTTTCTAGGGAAAAGGCTGAAAACTAGTAAATTTTCCCATTATCATTTGTGAGGCTAAGTACTACACTCTTTTATAAATCTGCTAAAAAGATATAAGGAACTGGGTGGATCAATGCTTTCTTTGTTCAAACTATTTTAAAACGCTAATATCTAATGACAACATGTTAAAATAATACACATTTCTGTAGGATGTTACCATTTCTATAACGGTTTCTCTACACGATATCAACAGTGCAATGGTGATTCAGTGTTAAGTCATTACAGTGTTTCATTGTTACAATACTTGTGTTCAAGTACATGTTCATGAACATGATCAAAGTCTCCATCTTGACTTTCCTTTTCCATTATTAAAATAAGGTTATAATTACAGTAGAATTTTTCCTATGGATAGCTCTAAATCTGCACCAAATACATAATACATTCTCTAAAAACCTGTTCAACACTATGAGGTTTGCTTTGTTTACACATCTCCTGCAGATTACAGAAAATGGGCTAATTCTGCACCAGGACACCAAAAACCAAAAATGACTTCTCTCCACATAAAACTAAACTATTATGCTAAGTTAGTATACATTCTGAGTAACTCAATGGCATTGTTGGGGAGAGAGTAGCACCTTAGAGACAGCCCTAACTTTAAAAAAAAGTTTTTATTTTTCCTTTAAAGTCTGAAGATCTCGGGGTTTTTTTTCCCTTTTATTTTTATTCCGGCAACTGAATCCAACTTATTTATATAAAATTATTTATGAAGCCATATAGTATAAATCAAAATGTTTGTATAGCCAAAACAAACACCATATTGGATGTTTGGCAGGCCAAGAAAAATAAATTAATTTGATTAAATTATATGTAATCTGATAATATTTGGTCTGAAAAACATGCTAGTGTGTGTGTTTATAAATAATGTAATTGCAAAGAGCTGTGGGCCAGCCAGCCTGCTAGAGGTCAACTCTTCTGCTGCAGCTTTTGGGCATAGAAGTCCCTGCATGTCTCACAGCAACGCTGATACCACCGCATGTCCTGACAGAGGTTCTTCTCACGGATCACCCGGCAGTACACAGGCCACTGATCACCCAGGCACTTGAAAGTCAGAGCAGCTGTGAAACAAAACACAGGGAACTCAATACACCGAGATAAACTAGATGTCACGAGCAGAGACAAACAGCAATCACTTAAGTGGGGGATTCGGTCTGCTTACTTTGACTCATTTATATTGCCTTGCAGAGCTTAAAAGACAGACATAAAGACAGGCACACACGCCCCCCTCCCCCATAATAAAGGAGTAAAGTGAACGAAGAACGGTCTCACTCATGAGCTTCTGTAGACTAATTACAGATAGATTTCCCAAGCCCAATGAGTTGTACTGCAAATGGCCTTTAAATTTCCATTACATGGCTTTCATTTAAGCTTCTTTTGGATTTGCAGTTGCGAACATTAAAAAGAACAATGAATGTGTTCAATATGTTCACCATTATGGGACTACAAATTAATAAGTATTGTGATGGACGAAATTGCAAAGAAATAGCAAAACAAAAATCTGTTTACACTTACTTCACATTCCTCGTTTCCTAGACAGCAGACATGTCTAGTTGGGATATCTGGGGATTGGGGTTTCAGGCATCCTTAAAATCTAAGCTGATTATCAAAAGTGACTAAATTTTATAGCAACAGAGTGTTTGAAATGAGCTTGTGATATAAAAAAAACTCGGTCATGTGGATTTGGCCCCGGTTCTTCTCAAGAATCAGCGTGTTCCGGCATGTATAACAAAAGACAATTCTGCTACAATTGTTTCTTTTGCCACTATTCTAGTATGATTCATTATTTTATGTTTGAAAACCTCTGATTTTCCAACCACTGTGCTTCTGCGTTCAGAGATGTACCATCAAGAAATAATAAACAAAGAAAATGCAGTTTTAATTAAATTCTTCTTTCAATCCATTATTTTCTGCCACATGAGACTTTAAGGACTTCCAATAATTATTGCAGAAAGGGATTATGTTGTCTTTGAATACAAGGATTTAGCGCATCTGCTCTAGGATTGCTTAACTTTTTGTCTTAACTAGCTTTAATTCTATTTGAACTGATTATTCCTTAGAAACGTTAATTATTTGGCTTGAAAACGAGAATTTCTGTATTTCCATGAAGAACCAAACTTTTCCGTTTAGATCGAATCTTATGCCTGGAAAACCATCTATGACAATTTAGCTCCTTGAATTCTGGCCATATTATTCTGTATAAACTGTTCCCCTGGAGATTATACATACAGATTAAAACTGAAAGTGTTGAACATAAATTAACCCAACAACATCCAGGTAGCAGTGCTATTAAAAGCCACTAATCGCTACAAAAATAAAGGCTAATTCATATTTGTTATGCAACTACAGGATACTCTCTTGATGATGTATTAGATTGAATAACAGGAATTAAGAATACATATGAACGCATTTTATGACATAAAAGACTGTGTAAATCAGTATGTTATTACTATTTATTCATATTGAATATTTTTTCCTTAAAGATGAAAAAAATGGTACCTCTTGTTCAGTGGTGTAGATCCATGTACCTGTTCTTCTTGAAAGAAAGGTTTTTACTCTGTGTCTCCCCAAAGGATAATTTGTACCCAGGATCACAAGGCAGGCTGTTAACAATGGAGAGATCTAAGGTGTATGCCGCAACCTCACCTTCCACAGACATTACCGTAATTGATAGTTCTGCCATGGGTCTGGTCAGAACCCACAATATGGTTACATCCCTCAGCCCTTTAGAGGATGACCTGAGGTGGTGTGGCATTCATTTCCCAGGGCCTGGCTCTGAGTAGACAATTCAGGAGTGAAAATACTTCAGTCTTCAGGATTTTTGTACCCACATGATCATTTGGACTGAACTACAGTCAAATAGATCCAATGTAGTCAGAAGCAAACTAATTAGTACAGATGGATAACTAAGCTTTAAAGTGAGATGTACAACCATGAGCATTTGTTTCTTAAGACCATCTCCTTTTTGGTCTGCTTACCCAGCCTGGGTGATGTTATAGTATTTACATTAATCTTCTCATTGCAGGGCTGAAGGTGGCAGGGCCTGTATGCTGCAGG